CCAGCGCCACTCGCCCGCTCTTCTGTGATCGTAACGCGAGCGCCACTCCTGTCAGAGACGATGAATCGGGCAGTCAGATATATGTATACTCGTCACTATGTTGGAATCTATTTTAAATTTTATAATTTTCAGGTTCGTCGACCTTATTGCTAAAGATGATATATACAATTCATAACTAATAGGCACCGTTCCCGTCAGGAACGATGAGTCAGGCAGTCAGAAGCGTTTAATTGTATATACTCGGCACTTTGTTGAAATTTAATAATTTGACGTTTATAACATCAGGTTTGTTGATTTTATCCCAGAATATAATAAATACAATTCATAACCTAAAAGTTACCCCTAATCTCAGAGACGAGGAGTCGGGCAATCAGAAGCATTTAATTGTATCCATTCGTCACTAGGTTTGAATCTAATTTAAATTAATTAATTTGACTTTTAGAATATCAGGTTCGTTTATCTTTTTCCTTAAGATGATAAATACAATTCATTAATTAAAAGTTTCCTCTCCTGTCAGAGACGATGAGTCGGGCCATCAGAAGCATTTAACCCTCTACCGCCCTATGTCACTCATTGGGAACATAACTTAACATACCAACCAACTTAAGGGGACCGACCTAGCATACGGAAACTTCTACAGTTATTATCCGATTGTCATGAAACTTCACATACATACGTAAAATGTAAAAAAAAAACATTTTGCTCCTATGAATTTTTTGAAAAAATTGATAGAAAACGTGAAATTCATAGAAAACGGCAAAAAGGGGTACTGCAGAAAATCTATCTCCTCCCACAAATATCATCCTACAACATCGAGACACGTATCATTCGATTTGTAAAGACCATATCTATCGACTCTAAGTGTCACTTTTTTCATTTTCCACCTAGTTTTTTTTTGATTGGCTGCTTAATGCCAGGCCTTCCTTTGTGGAGTGACCAGCGCGTGATTTATCCTCGTAGAGTTTTGTTAAGGGACCTAAAACCCACCTCCCTTTGAGGAGCTGTCACAAAGTCATTTTTCGACGCACAGGGACGATACTTATATCGTTCGATGCGCAAGAAAACAACCTTTAAGATGAGATAAGAAACAGAAAAACTCAACATTTTCAAATTTTTGCTAGGTCGGTCCCCTTAAATTATGCGTAAACTATTTAGTCTAGCAACCTGAAGACGTTTGTAAGCAATAGAGAACATTTTACAGTTGTCGTACGTGGCGGCAATCATCAGAGCAATTCATTTTGCGCCCACTATAGCAATGTATCCATTTGGGTAGGCTTGTGTGACAATATTGCTCCGGTTACTCATGTCAGGTGGTAGAGGGTTAATTGTCTCTACCCGTCGCGTGGTTTGACTCTAATTAAGATTTTATAATTCGACGTTTAGATTATCAGGTTCGTCGATGTTATCCCTGAATATAATAAATACAATTCACAAACTAAAAGTTACCGCTACTGTCAGAGACGATGAGTAGAGCAATCAGAAGGGCTTAAGATTACCCACTTATCACGTGGTTTGAATTTAATTAAGATTTAATTGCTATCTCTTCAGAATTCCAAGTTCATCTTCCATATGTGTCACAATAATCAATAAAATAGGGAACTAAGTTTGTGTTTAGATGGCCAAATTGAAACTAACTCGTGGCCTTTCAATTAATTTTTTAAGAAAGCGGAAAAGCATCAACTCGTGATATGCTTTATTCCTTTAAATGCAGCTCTATATCATATCGAATGCTTACTTTATCTTCTACGCTCATATATCATTCGGCAATTGTGGAACTACTTCAAAAACTAATAGCTTCTCACAATATGCGCAAAACCTAATTAACCCTAGTAAATATACCAGGATGATGTGATAGTTAGGCCAACGATATGTCAATAAACCGAAGTGCCATCGTTTGAGTCATAGGGAAATTGCAAGGCTTGATTGCAGTTCATGGGATCAAACATCAAATATCCGGAATATCGACCGGTGCTTCCATGCGGGTTGTAACGCGCGTGTTAGCAAGTAAATCGGCTTCATCGACCGAAGAAGCAATTCCAATTTAATTTGTCGGTGAAATAACTATGCCTAGAATTAACGGCATAATTTAGAATGGCGTTTTGCTGCTTTGTCAACACGTTTTGTTATCATTTGGTAGCTTATTAAGTTAATAAAAAGACATTTAATCCATTTGATTCAATATTTATTTCTATTTAATACGTTTACATTAGTAAGACAGGGATGCGACGCTAATGCATTCATTGGCCAAATAATGCTCTGCATAGTGGTTTAAGAAAATTGTAGCATTATATCATTCAATCCAATTAATTATCTTTGTTCAAATCAGATTAAAATCATCAATTACACTCAATAAAATTCCCACGCATCATCTATACCTTTCCAATAGCGTGATAATCATATTAGACTTAATCGTCTCCTTAATTGAGCTGGCCGAGACTGCGTACGGTTTGTGCCTTATGAAATTGATTCAAATAAATAGCCTGTGCAATTAATAGAATTCGACGGTACCTGGAAATGATTGACGAGTTTACCAGATCAAATTTTGGAGCAGCAAGTGGTTGCGCCACGAGAAACTCCCAAAACACTCAAATTCTTGCGTATAGAAATCCACGAGGGTGATTTTTTTCGCTTGAATGCAAGGTTTCCTGCTCAGCAAGCGTCTGCGTAATGTCTCATAAACGAGTAACCACGGGCTTCTTCCTATAATCTCGCTTTTTCCTAAACTGACAAACTGATCATATGGTGGAACGGCAAAAATTTGTAAATTTTTCTAATTTTTTACGAATAACTCAGCACCAAAAATATTGCAAATTGAATTCAGTTCCGAAGTGGACCAATTCCTGGACGTGGAGTGTGACCCAGGAAATTTTAATTTTGAAACCGTATAATAATAATCAGGAAATAACTGGCGCGTGTCCCAGTAAATTCTACTATAATACTAAAAAAAAACGATTAAGTGTAACAATAAAAATGAAGTTCCGAAACTTGTAGACGTAAAGATTTAAAAAGAACCATATAAAAAGTTTTGCCGTTTGCAATCGTCCTTCGTGAGAAACTTAACACGTATTTCCAAGAGCCCAGTTTAATACCAGCGGGCGAGCAATGCCTAATAAAACAGGACTCAGAGAGCTTCGTTGTAAAAATAAGAAATAAATAAAATTACACTTAATGTGTGAGGAAGTTTCCCCTTTGATTGAAGTTACCTCTATTACAGCTCGTTTCTTTCAGATGATACGTCCATGTATTCATTCTTTTTTCGTTCAGATCATCGCGTTATGTTTTTTTCGTCAAGTAAAAAGTCCATTATATTGTAGAGGATATTAATCATTATTATTTAACAATCAAGGTATTAATGCAAAATTAGTAGGCAATAATTTTTATTGTATAAATGGTTTATTATCCGAATTTTTTAATTATCATCATTTTAGTTTGAAGTTTACTGAAGGCTATGTGCCCAGGGATGAGGTGATAGGACTACTGTGCCGTGGAAAGCCGGAGCAAAGGTATTTGTTGCGTTAGGATGTGAATAGGTAAATAAATTTGTAAATAGATTTGATTGTGAACAAATTGTGTAAATTTTTAAGTTATATTTTGTAAAAACTTTTTAATGTTTAGTTTACATTAGTTACTTATCTAATTTATGTGTTTCTTTTAGGAAAGCCTCAGAGCAAGAGTTGGCCACGAATCTCAGCACTAAAGCTGATGCGCAAAGCACCGCAAGATGAAAGCCGCGAAGGTGAAAGCGTTAACGTACTAGTGTTTTGTTTATCATGCTTTGTAACACCTCAATTATTTAATTTGTTCATTCGAAAGTGTGGTGCAATAAAGTGCATTATTTAAAATTAATTAGTAACCTGAACCCATACGATCATGTAGGCTAGTTGGGAGTTCTGCGTGCCTCAACAATATTAGAGTCTATCTATCGTGGGCATTGAGATGAGATGGAACATAAACATCTTGTTCACCATCAAATTACGAATAGAATTAATTTATATCACTTTTTAAGTAAATATTATTTGCGAGTGACCAGTTATAAATCAGTTCTGAATGTCAACTCTTCTACTAACTTCCTAAAATGCTCGAAATCACTGAACGATAAAAAGATCTCTTGTTCGTCACTCAAACAATTAATTCTGGCACTTTTACGTCATGGACACACAAAGAAATTTACATGTTGTAAACAGTCTTCTTCCGTCTGGTAAGTTACACGGCGGTAGCAAGGAGCCTTTGGGCAATAACTGTGAGTTTGTAGTTTTTTATGGGAACAGACTTTTTCTTCTTAATCGATCACTGAAAGACCACATATAATCACTTGCGAACAACTGACTGGTACACAAAATATATTCGGACCTCACCATATGCTTAATCAATCATGTTCGTCAGCCTAAAATCACTCTAAATATTATAATTTTTCAATAATTTAATTACATTATCCCTCCAGTTATAAATGTGAGAATTGCTGAATACTCACAACTATAGGTTGAATTAAAACACGAAAAATATTTGAAACGAACATTGCCCTATAGTCCGGCTCAAATTATCAGTGCTTTTGCATTACGATTTTTGTGGACGAATATTTATTCTTGAATTGCTGATAGCGAGAGCAACTCTCACCCCGACATGGAACAGTCAGCAGAAAGTGGCTCTTACAATTGTTTTTTTTATTTATACTGAGGCCAATAATAAATTTTTAATCATGAGACGTATAAGCTGAACCACCAAAACTAAATTACACATTGCAAGACTCAAGATAAGTTTTACTCTCATAAACAATCGTAATGCTTATATTTCAAGAAATTTCTTCAAAAAATAAAATTTGCTTTTCCTTATGTCCATCAAGATTATACGTATGTAGTCTCGCTTAAAAATTCGCAACGCAAATATTCTTTACCAAATATTATTCTTTACTAAAATATTTCTGAGAATTTCTCATTGGGTTGGATCTCATTGGGCTGGAAGTGTTTTCAACTGAGAACGTAATCACGACGAACTGTTTTGACTCAAAGTCTCTGGCAGATGGTGAACCTGGAGTCAGTGTACGGAAGGCAATCAGTGGCAGGGAAGAGCTCGTTAGTCGCGCACCTAAGGCCGTCTTGATGCCATTAAAGCGGCTAACGCGAGTCTGAGCACCTGACGCTGCAACGGCCACGACGCTCTCCGACAACACTATTACCCGCTCACTATCACCGGAACGTGTATTCCTAACTCAGGAGGATAAACGTTGCAACGTGCGGAAGGTGACTTGGCTCAGTGGCAGTTGGTATTTAAAATTCAGGGGCAAAATGACATTTAATTTCTGTTGTAATAATTACAGCCGTTAAACCAAGAGCCTTTTCGAAAAAGCTCGGTCCATCGGGATCCTATTATAAAACACTACGCAAAATGAATATTTTAACTATATCATCTAAATAATTTACTTGTCTTTAATTATTATTCATACTCATATTCTACAAACTAAAATATAGCTTATTACTTGGTTAAGACCTAATACTCGCAAATTCAAATAACGTCCTATAATTACTGTTCTCAGTGCATGACTGTTTTTTATATTATTTTAATGTTTATATAATAGTTTGGTAATTAGCAGTGTTGGTCATTCCAGAGTCAACAAATATTTGAAGCAGTAGAAAAAAATGGAACGAATTCTAAACAAGGGAAACGCATGCAAAGATTGATTATTAGAATGTACTCGGGCAATATATGTAGTCAGAATGAATGGACCTTTCGTAGCCTGATAACACGTGATGTGGTCCAGCTGGCTGCCCGTGACGTACCTGATGGCACGGGCGTCTTTGTACCAGGTGATGCGGTCCAGCGGGCTGCCCGTGACGTACCTGATGGCTGTGATGCGGTCCAGCGGGCTGCCCGTGACGTACCTGATGGGGCGGGCGTTTTTGTACCACGTGATGCGGTCCAGCGGGCTGCCCGTCACTCTGCATAGAAGCTGCAGTGGACGGCCCGTGGTGAGCGTTAACCTCATTGGCTCCATCTCAACGCAGAGGAGAAAAAAATGTTAGATTTTTCGATATTCGAGATTTAAGATCTATGTAAAATGGCGTATAAAACACTGTAGGGGTACGCTCACAGTGAAAGCAGGTTGCCAGCGTGCTGGTCACCTGCTCAGGCTGGCACCTGAAACCATAGAATACAGAAGCCTATTCGTACAGGTTTTCACTGTGAACACTTACACTATTATCCTATGTTCATTCTTGTGGTAGGTTGGAGCAGGTTGCCCGCGCGGGCAAACCTGCTTTCACTGTGTGCGTACCCTAGCACAGAATAGGGCTGGACGTGTTAGAATGGAGATGACGTTGAGAGTACGTAGTGTCATTGATTTTAAAGTAATGAACATGTGTCGGTGTATAAGTAGTTTAGACGCAGCTAAATTCTGGATTTGCCGTAAATGCCACAGTTCCTTTTGAAACTTGAGATTCTACCATCGGTTTTATAGAAACGTTCCACCAGACGATTGATTTCCCGCGCGTTCACCGCGAATCACCTCAGCGTGATTACTTTTTATGAGTGAAAGGTGAAGTTACCAAGCATCTGCCAAGCCCCTAGAGCCATAAAACCTGTCATTTGACTTGGAATCGGCTGCTGTACACAAATAAAGCTTCGCTGAGGTGCATTGAACGCCAGAATCACACTACATCAGTTCACTGACAATGCTGGACATTGCTTGAATGTCGTGAGCACCAGGCACTGTTAGGATTCTAAAGCAATTAAAATTATTTTAAAAATAAACTCAAGCGTTGACGCTTTGATGCCAAATGACATTTTCTGGTTCATATCTAGTTCTGTTGTTTTTTATGACAATAATCTATATAATTTATACGAAGATAGCGCAAGAAAACTATAACATGGAATAAAATAAAAAATTTTATTTTGTCCTAATTCTTCACCTTATTAATTGAGTGGCACTTCTTTTTAAATCGAGTTATGCACAATGAAAACTCAGACGTGCCCGAGAAAGTGCACGTCTGAGTGTAATAACTGTCGTATCAGTTTATGAATATCGGACAACTCATAGAAAGAATCTTTTTGTTATTCAAGTGTTGTGAACACAGTAGTATATTAATATAACAAGAGCTACTCGGGCTTATACCTACCATGAAGGAAACGTTTCCAAGCAGATCAAACTTTATATTAAAATAGATTTATGAATTTACTTTGAGTTATAGATGTTAGGGAATAGTATCGATTAATATAAAACAGAAATTATCATTTTAGTTCAATTCAATTCAATTCCCATCCAATTTGTTTAGAGTTTTCAGTTTTCGTTCAGACTTTTCCGAAATTCAGGCTTTCGTCATTCCAATGTTTTGTTCATTCATGTTTTTGAGACAAGCTGGAGAGGATACACGGCACATCGCATTGTAGATTCCCGTTTTTTAAATACATGTTTGAAAACTTGGTGTCTTTTATACGTACTAAACCTGCAAACATATTACTCGAGTTGAACAGAGATTATCCCCCAGCACAGTTATGGGTATTGGTGTTAATTTTGTTTAGAAAATGAATACTTCTCTTCACTATTCGAAAATTCCTAATTTCGATTCCAACATTCTCCAAAACATTCTTACACTTCTACTTCTAATTAATTCGAAACATAAATATTAAGTGGAACCTTAATTATCGAATAAAAAATGACGTTCAATCCAAGACCTTTACAGTATATGGATTGTGTTCAATGTGACAACTATGATAGGCAAATGAGAGTTTGCTTGTCACAAAAGCTGGCTAGGATGAACTTATTTCCTCTCACGAAACATGATGATAAATTAAACTAAATGAAGAACAGGATTTACTAACAGTCACACTCACCACGAGAGTGAGAGGTGTGGTGACTGACAGACGCGTTGAGATGGTGATCGAACCGACCGAGTTGTTCACCACACAGCGGTACTCCCCGGCATCAACCAATCTCGCTGAGCTCATCACTAGGTCACCACCAACCTCCCAGACACCTTCATTCATTGTGGCTATTGGTGATCCGTCTTTGTACCACCTGAATATATTAAAAAATTGTGAATGCTATCATCACGGTCATCTGCTTAGAAACTTTCTTCAAATTAAATTTTTGGGGAATTTATTTATTTAAGCAGCTCAAGTTTACGTACCAATGCATTTGGTTAACGTAACTAGTGAGGCTTTTAAGCCTGTGTCAGGCGCACAGATAACGTGTGGCTGGACACTAGGTAGGCTTGGGCGGGAAAGCATTATATGAGTATACATTATAAAAAATATGATCAGTACTCACAGGAGTGAGTAACATAGCGCATTTTCTCGTGCATAAATCAGTTTTCATTGTGATTAGTACTGTGCACTGAACTTATTACATCATTTTTCGTTTGGTTTATTACAATGCGGTTTGTTTGGAAAGGCCAATCTTCATTCAATCTAAAACTATATTTTAAATCACGAAACGTTTTAAAGTATTCTTAAAATCGGCGACAACGGGAAGTCACGGACGGACAGACATGAAGAGCACAATAGCGCATTTTTTTCATAAATGAAAAAATGCGCTAAAAATAATGTACATTCTTGTACGTATACTCGTGTACATTACAAAAAAATAAAGTATATTCTTGTATGTATACTTGTATACATTCAATAATGTATGTGAGTATACATTATAAAAATAATAAAGACTATCTCGTATCCATCACACAACTAACGTGCGCATGGGTGGCGGGAAGGCTTGGGCAGGACAAGGGAGTCTCACAGCGGCGCCCACAGCTGCCACCACGTCCAGCTGTCGGGGTGCCTCCGTCGCCGGCGCTACCGCTGGTTCTGAACCTGTAAAGACACGCTATATTTTGAACACAAATGCATTGCAATTTTAAGAGCAACTTAGAGTCAGGAAATCTTTATACAAAAAGAAACACAAAATCGTTAAAATTTAAGAGCAACTCAGACCCAGGAAATCTTTTGACAAGAAGAAAATCTTAGCGGAAAACTGTTTGCCTGTTCGTAAAGGTTTTCATGAATGCAAATTACATCCGTGTCACACACTAAAAAAATATTCTAATAACTTTTTTATAATTTATAAACAAATTAGATTTCTAAACATAGGAGAGCTGAACCATTTTTATATGACTAATTAACAAAAATCGTTTAAGGTTATTGCCACCTTTCGTAGCTTATTGAAGCGTTCATTTTACAGACAAACAAAATAAAGGAAACCATTGTATCTGGGACCGAAAATAAACATTCGCTAAATCAATGATCATTTAATAATTCTATCGTAAATCCGAAAAGAATATGGAGTAAGTTCAGAATTTTATCGATTATAAATTTGATCATATGATTATACCAGATTTATTGACAATTTAGAAGACTTATGCGGATTAAAAATGTATTGCTTGTAAATTTTATACAATATTCTTCATATTTTATCCACAAGTTTAGGAATTAATTTTCTTATTAGGCTAGTGAGCTTAGATATATAAATAATTTACATACTAAGACTATCAGTAACGTTGTAGCAATACGACACCAGCCTCTTCATCCGACCTCGTCCTGTTAAAACAAAGTGACAGCGCACGGCACAGAAACCTTCAGTTTTTCTTAACAGAATTTCTGTTCAGCAGAAACCTCTCTTAACAGAATTTCTGCTAGCTGACTCCCGCTGAGCACACTGAGCAGTTCTAAGGGGCCATGTTGGTGTTTATTTTGTTGAATTCAGCCGCTTTGTTGAAGTTTCCGTCACATTAAGCTGTGATATAAAGCGTTGTTTATAGTCTCTGTTGACAGGCAGTTGTGTTTAGAAGACGGCCGTGATGGTTGGAATTAAAGTCTGGGCTTTGCAACCTTGAACGGAGAATTATAAGTAACTGCACATTTGCTTAAATGAACAGTAAATATTCTCAGGTTTCGCTGTCAGATTCATCACACATAAATTTTGGTCTTGCGGTATCCCAAAAATATTTCAACACAATGATTCTAAATCATCAAAGAAAATTTTTTAAGGTGGAAAGCAATGATTGGAAAACATTGATATTTGTTGAAGAACAAACTTCCCTATCATTTGAAGTGTAAATAAAAAACTAAATAATAATGCGTACGATATGATTCCAATGATATTACGTAGGCTCATTCGAATTAAAATGTGGCAAGAGGTGATTTCAAAAACTTTTTAGCGTTGACGATTAACGAGAGATACTGAAACAATGGCTTACAAACCCGTGGATTTGAGGATATCACGTCACGGTTTGTTTTGCCATATACAGTAAGGCTTGGCCTTGGCTTTTTCATTACATATCGACGTAAGATCTCAGTGGCATGTGTGTCAAGACACTGCACTTGCTCTGCAAGTACGCGCTAATCCGTGTTGTGCTGGGAGAGCTTCCGCGCTGTAGTGCGAGACAATACACTGAGGGTTGGGCTAGGTGGTGCGAGACACTGCACTGAAGATTGGGCTAGTGGTGCGAGATACTGCACTGAAGGTTGAGCTAGTGGTGCGAGACACTGCACTGAAGGTTGAGCTAGTGGTGCGAGACACTGCACTGAAGATTGGGCTAGTGGTGCGAGACACTGCACTGAAGATTGGGCTAGTGGTGCGAGACACTGCACTGAAGATTGGGCTAGTGGCGCGAGACACTGCACTGAAGATTGGGCTAGTGGTGCGAGACACTGCACTGAAGATTGGGCTAGTGGTGCGAGACACTGCACTGAAGATTGGGCTAGTGGCGCGAGACACTGCACTGAAGGTTGGGCTAGTGGTGCGAGATACTGCACTGAAGGTTGAGCTAGTGGTGCGAGACACTGCACTGAAGATTGAGCTAGTGGTGCGAGACACTGCACTAAAGGTTGAGCTAGGTAGTGCGAGATACTTCTCTGATATTGCATTGGGTGCGGGTTTGTACAAAACAAGTTTAGGCACATAGTCTAATGAGAAATTGGCGGCCTAGTCGATAGCATGAATGATTTGTAATAGATAATAAAAATTTCCCTAATGCAATTTTTGTAATTAAACCATCACCAGTTGTCGGTGGTGTAGCGACGCGACAACTTGTGCTATTACTGTTCGGGATTAATTGATACTAATCCCGAACAACTATAACTCAAAGTAACTTCGTAAGCCTATTTTAATATAAAGTTTGATCTGCTTGAAAACGTTTCTTTCATGGTAGATATTAGCCCAAGTAGATTATTGTTAGAAAAAACAACAGAACTAGATATGGACCAAAAAATTTCATTTTGGCATCAAAGCGTCAACGCTTGAGTTTATTTTAAAATCATTTTAATTGCTTTAGAATCCTAACAGTGCCTGGTGCTCACGACATTCAAGCAAAGTCCAGCCTTGTAAATGAACTGATGTAGTCTGGTTCTGATGTTCAGCGAAGCTTTAGTTGTGTACAGCAGCCGATTCCAAGTCAAATGACAAGTCAAAATTTATGGCTCCAGGGGCTTGGCAGATGCTTGTAACTTCACCCTTCACTCATTAATTAAAAGTAATCACGCTGAGTTGGATCCGCGGTGAGCGCGCGGGAAATCAATCATCCTGTTGAACGTTTCTATAAAAACAGTTGTAGAATCTAAATGTTCACTGTGGAATTTACGTAAACAAAATTTAAAAAGCACTACCATTTTGTCTAAAGCTCTATAATTCAGAAAAATTTTAGTTTATAAAGCTCAAGGTTACAATGATTTTGAAATTGAATAAAGTTCAAATTTAAATTTTTAGTGGCTGTCATTTGGTCACACGGAGGTTCTAACCATAAAATTGTAATTCTAATTATAAAAAAATTGATTGCTTGCATTTTTATAATTGAATGATGGAGATAGAAATTGCCGTCATGATTAAATTAGGTCCAATACAAATTCTCTATCAATCGGCACTCTGAAATAGTTTTGCATTATCAATACCGATTTTAGACACATTAAAAACAAGGACGAAAATACACAGTTACAACAAAACCAAGAAGCATCGTTGAACTGCACGATAATAAATTTACAAGCCAAATTATACGTACACTTAATTCAGGTCAGTATTTGTGCAAAATTATTTTAATAATTAGAATAAATAAATTGGGACTTCGTGGGTAACTGGGCAGGACGTTCCCACTGCAGCTTTGCTCGGAACATTAATTCCACATTCTGCTTGAAATGTGCGAGGTTTCCGTGCTCAGAAACTCACTTGGAGAAATAGCCACAGGAGCGGAAGACATCAAATGCCAGCGGAAGGTTTCATTCTAAAAGCTCTTTGGTGGCTTCATCAAACTACATCAAACACGAGGGGAGAATGAAGAACGAAATCACGAGCTAGAGGAAAATTAGATTTTGCTTTCACACACGCCCACCTTTTAAAGATCCTGCTGGCGCAATTTTGCTCCAGAAACTAAAATGCAAAATGAAGCACTTTATATCCATAACTATCCTCTTAGCTGAATATTTAACTCATGGACCTACCAGGCTTTAATGATAAGAATAAAAATCTAAAACTTTTCTTCCCACTTGATTTCGTTCAAGATTTCACCAGAATTGCATATACGTAGCCTACTACATAAAATAATTGCAATGACACTTGAAAATATTTAAAGTATTGATATTCCGAGGATCTTGGCTAGCAACTGCACTTCTTCCTTAAGTAAATGGTGCTAAGAATTACCAATTTTTTATTTGTGGTTTGTCGTAACTTTTACAGTCTGAATTATAAATTTTGACATCTTATACTACTCTAGATCGCAAAAATATTCTAGATAGTCAAATAAAGGGAAAACATAAATTAATTGAACTATTTACTTTGGGATACAGTGTGTAATTGCCAAGGATTTTGATAGATGGAAACTAAAGCAGTCGCTTCTTTCTAGAGCTGGAGAAGCAAGGATCATACGCGAAAAAGCACCTTGCAAGAAAAATGTATTAGGGCGGCGTGGCGGAAATGTGGCATCTATGCATTGTCCTATAAACACCTAATGGGAGATTGAGGCATCAAGAGGCAGAGAAATTGACAATGTCGAGCATTGAAAAGCCCTAGTGTCATAATCATTTTAGATTATGGAATAATATTTGACACGGTTATAGTTTAACTGAAAACAATCTTGAATCGTTTCAGTTCCCTGGTAGATGTTTGTACGTATAATGTAACGTAGAAATATACGTACAGATATTTTCATGTATATAGAAAACTAAATCAAAATGATCATCAGCCTAATTTCGTTTTTTTTATGTCTACAATTGTTTCAACAATTAGGAACTGAGCATCAAAAACTGTAGAGTATGAAGTGTAGTATAATTAAATTAAGTTCTTAAATTAACTTATTAAATTAAATCAGAATAATTAAAACTGTAATTGAATTTAGTTAATTTTTGTTGAGACTGCTCATTTTTTTGTGCTCATATATAAGCTCCGTACTGGAGTTTGTAGGAGCTCCAGGACATTTGCACATTTAAAAAAAAATTGCAACCAATATTTGACGGCAAACTAGTCTCGTTGGTTGCATTAGAGTTCGCAAGGCTCATGCAAGATATTGATAAAAAAATTAATCTGCGGGTATAAATGCATTTCTAACAAACAATAGTATTTTTTAACACGTTTTCTCTTAGGGAGACAATCGTGCGAAATTAACGAATAATTTTCCTCAACATTGAGCTGAATCTGTTTCTTTACCAGGAAGCAAAATTAGTCTGAAGCTTGCAGAATTATTCATGCTAATCTAAAAATTTCGGTCGCGTTGAAATGATTGAGATGAGTCATCTCCAATCAAACAATATTCATAGATAACGAAGAGCATTTCCTTTCATTTCGTGAGTGACGATAATTCAAGGAAAACCGCAGACGATAATTCAAGGAAAATTGCATTTCGCTTCAATAAACCTCGTTTCAATGCAAGCTAGAGATACGCATGAGAACAAGCATTCGAATCCTTGTAAATTATAACCCAAATCCAGGCCGCTCTGGTCGAAAATTTATTGGCTACGCGTTGTGAACATGAAAACGCGATGCGGAACTCGTCGAAGATAAAACGTGCTCTGCTTGGAGTATGAGCCGTGACTGGTCACGACTCCCTCATTATGCATGGAGTATGAGCCGTGACTGGCCACGGCTCCCCCGCATTATGCATGGAGTATAAGCCGTGACTTGCTATGCGGCTCCCGCATAATGCATGGAGTATGAGCCGTGACTAGCCACAGCCCCGCATTATGCATGGAGTATGAGCCGTGACTGGCCACGGCTCCCCCGCATTATGCATGGAGTATAAGCCGTGACTTGCTATGCGGCTCCCGCATTATGCATGGAGTATGAGCCGTGACTGGTCACGGCTCCCGCATTATGCATGGAGTATGAGCCGTTAGTATGAGCCGTAACTGGCCACGGCTCCCGCATTATGCATGGAGTATGAGCCGTAACTGGCCACAGCCCCGCATTATGCATGGAGTATGAGACGTAACTGGCCACGGCTCCCGCATTATATTTCGTTTATATTTCTTTCGAGAAATTAGAAAATGTTATCTAATCATAAACAAAAACTGGATTCCAATAGCTACAGATATCCGTTATCAATATCGTTTTCCGAAGAAGGTTGACAAGAATTGCATTGCACTTAATTTCGAAATCATTTTTAACGAATCAAAGGTTTTTAGTTAAGATAAAAAACATCCATGTTTTTGAATCCATGTCATCACTCTCTATAATTTATGGACCATGAACCTTATTCTTATTCACTTGAATTCGTATGATACCGCCTTCTGAATCTCATTCTGAATAAGTCAATAATTTAATTCAAATAAATTGAATTAATTAATTTAATTCGTAATCCATTCCTTTGATTCTCAATTCGTAATTTAGTTATCCTCAATTATTTTCATTCAGCCGAAGGCATCATTTAAAAGTGCCTTCAGTTTGTCGATAATAAAATGCATTGACACAGCCGCTTGCAAACGTTACATGGTGGGGCGCTATAAAAAATAAGTAATTATAGCAAAATTGATTTGTATTAAAAGGTATTTTTAAGTATTTACTGAGCCATTGAATTCTAGAAGATTCTGAATACATGAGCAATCATTATACTAAAATAATTAATATACTTTGCGTGGTGAAGAAGTAACTGTATTTTCTAACCGTATGTTAGAATTTTATAGTTTTTAATGATTGATTTACTTTTATTGAAAACACATGCTCTAGCGCAATCAATTCTGCTTGCAGACGATTCCAAAGAAGGAAATAATAAAATTGTTCCAAAATTTGAAGAACTCAAATTTGCTTCAATCTGCGTTCAGCGAACATCGTAAGCGACTCTGATATGAGCAAACCTTATCGAGGTCTGTATAATAAATTGAATAATGAAACATTAAGTCCACCATCCTATTTCAAATTATTTCCCGTCTTTAATGTAAAGTCATCACAAGTCTCGCTTCTCTGCCGGACAGTCCACCTCGCATGTTGATCAGTGAGCCGTTCTCCCAGGTCTGCCCAGTAATTGTTCTTCTCTAAATTAGCCTTGGCGTAGCGCTGCTTTGGAGGAAAGAAGGCCGTTTATTTTGGCCCTGTCCTGATTTAAACACGGCCCTAACCGCCAAGATCTGCTGTATGCCCAAAGTTCGTCTATTATGATGAACTCGTAGTGTATGGTACGAAAGACACGAATGCACAGTTTCCATAATCCTAACGAAAAACGCAAGAAATTATTCATTTGAAACTCCATTGTGCTCACTATTGTATTTGCAAGTTTAATCACCAAAAACTATTTGAATATGCTCATCAAATGTCAGACAGCTAAATATTTCCCAAAAATATTCAATTACTTCACTAATAATTATGAATGCTGAAAATAATACGAGAGCCATCAAACATGAGTGAAAATTTTAGCGCATTATTTTAAGACTCCAATAAATTAGAAATGGAAAATATGAAAAACATAGGAATTTGATGAAACCTTTTTTCCCATGCACGGCTCATTTGGTCTGCTTTTTGTGGCTTTTGAATGACATTATCAGGATAAAAGTAAGCCACTGCGCAAATGATGCGGAAACTAATGCTGAAGGTAAAGAACATGTTAAAGATATGGAAATGCTTGCTGCCTATTGTGACACAAGCATGCTCAAGAGCGACTCTAATAAAGAAGGTGGCTCGTATCTTAAATAAATTAATCTTTAATTAAAAATTAACAGTGCTAATTTATTGAACACTCTTTATATTTATCTACTTAACACTATTATTTATATTTAATTTAACAGTGCGTAATAAATGTGTCACGTGCGATAAGCATATCAGAAGCAAAATATTAACATAAAATTAAAATATATTCTCTAGCTAGCGCTGCATCTCGATAGTTCTACACTTTAATATTCCTCGCGTGATGAAACTTAAATCCTGCAGACTTAAGTTGTAGCAACATGAACTAAAGTTCCAACGAAAGGAAGAAAGAAGCGTGGTGTAGATTCAAACTTTTAGAATCTAAAACTTTCGGAATCTAAAAGGCACTGCAATTTTTATTTTAGAATATCCCTGAATAAACCTCGACAGTGTGCGACAAAAATTACATATTTTGTGTTTTCCAAAAACCTGGACGTGTTGCATGAAGTTGACAAGGGAAGCTCCGATCCTCTAAATATTCCGACAGCTCTCAGCAGCAGCTACGAGAATGATTCGACTGGGATGATTGCAAAAAACTGAATCTGAACGAAAATCATTTTTTTCCGCGAAATATAGACGGAAAATGAGAGGGTGAACTGATCCCAGAAATACGAACAAACCGACGCACTATCAAGGTTTTCCGGATAGATTTCCTGGTTGTCACTAGCGTGAATTTTAGGCAGAAAATTCGGTGTCATAAATCAGTAATAAAAACTTTTTGACCGTCACAATTAATTTTCAAACAAAAAATGACATATAACGAAAGAATTACAAACTCTTCTTGGCAACTAATTTGATTTAGGAATTGTTTTCTCGAATCAGTAAAGTCAAACATCACTTATTTTCTAAAAATTAAACAACATCCTCTTCTCAGTTAGCACCAAAATTTTTCCTCAACACCGTTGCTGAAGAAATGGAAAAAAACTTTGCATTTTCACTTTTGAAACAAGAGAGCCGAGAAAAAAATTTCATGTTAGGAATTAAATTTTAGCTACAGCGTGTGTTATTCCGAATAGTTTTGGTTCGTAATTGAGGCGTAAACATGCCACATGACATGCTCATTAAACAAAGTCAGACGAAATTAGTGGCAAA